GGTATTGGATTAACGAAACCGGGAGGAGGGCAGGAGAGAGGAGAATCCTGCTCGCAGGCAGAATAATAATACGTGACCCCACTGATATGGTATCCCAGTGATGGCTATGGAAGAAGCTGTTGTACAGACAGGACAGAGTGGCCCTGCAGTGTCCAGATTATACCAAGGCTTCCATCATTGCTTCAGTGTGGAAGAATTATGGAGCTGAATGAACACAGGGGAGGCACACCTATTTCAGTGCATGTTAAGAAACCACTTTGAGTTACTCTGACTCAGAAAATTGCATTCATCTCCTCTTCCAATCTTCTAAAACTCTTAAATCTATGCCATAATGAAGAGGGGAAACTTGTGCGCATCCCTGTTAATATCCAAATGCTCTTATGTTTCAAAACGAAACTTTCCCTTTTTGTCATTGCTTGTGTTCCTCCAGCTTGGTTTTTGGTGTTCACGGTCGGCTTTTTGCTTGAGGGACTCCTGCAATGACTTTGAGAAAATAGGCCTCTTCGCTCAATGCCCAGGCAGGTTGCTGAAGTAGGGGAAAAAAAATGCTTTGGGGGTGGGGGAAGGGAGGCAGGGGTTGAAAGAAGTGGACGCTTTCCTTTAATTGGTCCTGATTCAGTGAAACACGTAGATAACTTGAAGGCTGTGCTTAAGTCCATCCCTATTCAGGAATGTCTGTCAGCACCTGCCTAAAGCTAGGGCTGTGAACACATGTTCAAAATTAAGCACATGTTTAAATGCCTTCCTGAATAGGGAGCGTAGTTAGCAGTCCAACACTTCCTGCCAGCACAGTTTTGCAGGCAGCAGGGTTAGGTTGCAGATCCAGGAAGCTTAGGAATATCTGCCTCTGCCCAGTTTCATGTTGAGCCATACAGTGAATAGGTAGACAGCTTGTTTAGCTTCCTACAGATTAGTTTTACAAGCCACGGTTCAAGGATTAGCCGAGCGCTGGAATTCAGGGAGTGGCGGTGCCCTGAAGGAGATCTTTCCAGGGCTCCTGAAGAGTCCATACCTGCTTACACAATCCTTTTAGCTTGCTTGCTTTGGCTGAGTTTCTCTAGCAGGGCAAGGAGCACGGTAGAGGTGATTGATTAATGCTGCTCTCTGTTCAGAATCAAAGGGCAGGAGGAATCAGGCCTGCTTCCTAGAGATAAATCTATGACTCTCAGAAATTATTTTTATTTTGTATATTTAAAGGCTCTTACAGCCTTTTGTAAAATTCCTAAAAAGGAGCTAGTATAGCATATATAGCTGTAGCTACATCCAGCCAACACTAGGCTGGCAGGTAGTCTAACCCATGGGAACAGTCTCAGAGAGATTAATGGATCACAGGATGGCTGCTGTGTTGTCTAAGGGTGTGTGTAGACAAAACAAGGATGCATGCACGACACTTTTTAAAGTGGGTTAAATGCTTTTGCACCACTTTAATGGTGTTGCTGTTTGCACGCATTGGCGGCATATTGCGCATTAATTCCAGCTGCTACAGCACATTTGGCGGTGTAATGCGCCTTAAATGACTTTGTTTGCTCCGAGGAGTTTTAGTTTGCTGCCCCACAGGTACAGAGTGAAGCACTGGGCTCCGTGCAACTCTAGGGCTCTGCAGGCAGCTTGTGCAGGTAGCCTGGCAGCAGCCTAGGAAGGCAGGCTCCACCAAAGGGGAAAAAAAAAAAAAGTGTCAAGTGGTCCTTCCCTCCGTGGCTGTGGTGCCCCCTGAGACTGCCTGAGCCGGGTGTGGGGCTGCTGCTGCCATAGTGGGAAGCATCAGTCCCCCCCAACCCCCCACAGCCCAGGGTCTGCTCCACCTGCTGGCAGCTTGCTCTCCCCTCCCCTCTGCTGGAGAGGCAGGTAAGACAGGTGTACATGACATGGGGTTTACTTTACCCTAAATTGAAGTGGTGTTTTTAAAAACCCACCACTTCAATTTAAGGCCCCCGTTTTGTCTACACATGACCTAAGCACTTGCAGGATCTGTCCCAGGGTAGCTAACATGCATCTTAATAGGATGCAACCTGACAACAATTAGGCAGGTGGTGAATTGGGACTGTTGCTCTAGTTAGTTAAGAACAACACACTGGTGTGTTCTTGTTCACCTAGGTCAGGGGTGTCAAACATATGACTTGTGGGCTAGATGTGGCCTGTGAAGCCGTGTGATCCAGCCTGCAAGGTTCTTAGAGGGGCCAGGGATTCGGGTAGGGTCTGCCACCAAAATTGAGGTATGGAGCCCTGTCGGGGACACATTTCAGTGGTAAGGCAGTGAGCAACAGGTGCATTAACCCCTGGGCTCCCTGGGTCTGAATCTAGCCCTCGAGGAGCCCTCCAGTTGGGATCCAATCCAGGGGTGCTGGGTGAGTTTGACACCCCAGACCTAGATTATAGATTATATTGTCTGCTGTGCTTGTAAAACACCCAGCAGAGCCCTACCCCATTCTCCTGGAGCTTAAGCTCCTGTTGCAAGTTTAGTATTTATTTGCTGATGAGTCTAAGCCACAAACTTTCTGATTTCTCTAACAGAATCTATAACAGCACAAATACAGTCCTGACAAACTATGAACTAAGTGGCCTGTTCCATTCTCTGCCCTCTTTTCAGCCGTCCTTTCTGATGGCAGGCGCAAAGTCCCTCAGTTTGGCGGGGAAGCAGGAGGTCCACACTCAGGATTGCAGTGCATGTGTTGAATACCTGAGGTTATTTGACAGTAGAGCCCCAGGTTGGTTCTTTAGCCCCATGCACATTTTTATTTCCTTTGCAATTTTACAGGCTAAATCATCCCTTCCCTGACTTGCGTTTGCATTTCAAATGTCAGAATGAAACCCTCATGGCAGGACTTGAGAAATTCTTTTGTGATGTGCCCTCAACAAACAGGAAATTCACTTTGGCAGCTGCTTTCCATCATTACAAAAAACAATGCTTTAAAATTTGCTACAAAAATTTGCTTTAAAAATACATGTTTCTAGCTCACAGGTGCAAAGACCCTTCCAAATATGATTGAGCATGAACCAGTAACATTCCCGTAGTCAGCAGAAGCATGGATTAAAAAGTCAGACAGGGAAAGGAAAATAAAAGCAACAGGTGTAACAAACACTTAAAAATGTGAAATAGGTGACAATATATTGCAGTTAAAGACAGCAAAGAATAGCCTTTCTGTACTTGATGGGACGTGGCTGGCACAGGCACACACACCATAGGGATGTAGGATTGGAAGGAACCTCTTGGGTCACCACATCCAGTCTTTTGCCACCAGTAGTGTAACTATGGGTGAGCAAGCAGGGCACGGGCCCTGAGCACTGTATAAGAGGAGTTGGGGAGGCAGAATGGAGCTGGGGGGATGCCTCATCCTCCCATTCCAGTTTCTCCCCCAACACACACAAACCCTGCATCTTCCCTGCAGCAGCTCCAGTTGCTGGGAAAGGGTAAAGATGTCACCTGGGTTTGCCTCTCAAAATCAGTGTTCAAATGCCTGCTGGGTACATGTGCCAGCAGCAAAAAAAAGAGGTGGTATTTGCACCTCCACCTCCCCTCCAGCAGCAAACCACCTAAGGTGCTGCTGCTGCCAAGGGTACCATACTGGCCAGTTACGACTGCCTGTCCCCACGGAGCTTGTAGAAAGAGAGGAGCTCTCCGCATCACAGCTCCAGTAGAGGGGAAGAGAATGGCAAAGGGGGTAGATATATTAGGGGAGATCAGGTAATAAGGGGAATGGGGAGTGCATTACAAAGCATCGCTGCACCTGATTTAGTGATCCAGTGTTTTGTTCAACATGGTGGCATTTTATAGCATAGAACCAGTCCTGGAGAGGAAGTTCTGTTGAGTTAGCACAGCAGCCTTTCATCTGCAGGGAATTGGGTTCAGTCCAATTCAGGCCAAAAGTCAAAAGTCAGCTGAGTCTGGATGGGTCGTCCTAGTCCCTTGTGAATACTTTTCCACATCAAAAAACCAGTCACCCATGGCAGCACAGCTGGCTGCCTCTGATCAAGAGCACTCTGCCTTTAGGGTGGTGGGAAGGTTACAGATCATTAGGCTTGCTAGCTAAGATGTGGAAGGAAACTTGGGACATATTTGCCCATTCAGTACATTGTTTGGGACTATTGCTTTTACAAGCAATTACAATATCCACACTTTAATTTTTGCTTTTAATAAATAGGCTTGTTTGCTTTTTGTCTTTTTATTGGGGTGGTGGGAGCGGGGCAGGGACTTCCCTCCCTCAATTTATTCAAATGTAGGGAGGAGCTGCAAAACCTTAGGAAATAAAATTTATTGTGAAATTTCCTCTGGTTGCCAAGCTAATAACGGATGCAGAAAGAAACAAGGAAATAAAACCTTTCCCCTTGGTTGAGGAATCTTTTCTTCTCTCTCTCTCCCCCTCTTCCCCCCCCCGCCAGTTTCTCCTTGCTCACCTCAGGTTTCTTCTCTCCTGCTTTCTCCCTTCCATTCAGTCTCTTCTTTCCATTTTGCCCACAAACCTCCATAATAGTCCGAAGGCACAGATGAGAAGCATTAGCCAAGAGCTGAGGAACACAGACAGCTAACATCTCTCAGACTCATCCTAAAGGGTGTTTTGAGTGCTGCTTTTACAGTTCTTCCCAAGGTCCAGGCCATTCTTAATGGGGATTGTTGTGGAGTCCAGGTAATCTGTGTAAACACGCTTCAAGAAAACCCAAGGGTGGACTGCGATAGTAGGCTCATGTTTATTCTGTTGCATTTAGTTTAAGCCCTGTATAAGAGCAAGTATTTATAATGTGCTGCAGTCTTGTACATGAAAGTTGCTTGCATCCACATCTGTTGTTGGAATTCCTCCTTCTATCATGTTCATGTTTGCAAATCATTCCTATGCCTATATTGTTAGCCTCTAGTCTTGTGATTGATTATTCATAGTTATGGGGCTCCAAGGAGCAACACCCCTTTTCTAGTCCATATAACAGGTGTCCAGTGCTGCAGTAGCTGAGCAGAGGGAGACGTTGAAATCCTCTGGGCCTGCTGTTTATTTTGTCTTTCTTTTTCAGGTATGAATGCTGCTGTCCGTGCTGTGACTCGCATGGGAATTTACGTCGGAGCAAAAGTTTTCCTGATCTATGAGGTCTGATTTCCCCCCCGCACTGTGCTTGGTCATTGTAGAGGGGCAGAGACCGTCCAGCTGTGTCCTTTAAATGGTTATGTACCGCAAAAATGAAACTCATTGGGGAAAACACCCTGGGGCTTGATTAATGCAGTGATAATGCATCAGTCATTCTCCTGCAGAGACCTGCACTCAAATCCGACTTCTAGTAGGGGAGTATAATTACTACCTGGTTCTAGGTACGATTTCACTGAGGCTGAAGAGAAAAAGGCCTCACCTGAAGCCAGGTGAGAAGTCAGTGAGGGTTGGCAGTATAACCCAGGAGTCAGAGTCATGACTCCTAGGGCACATGCACACGTGTATGCAATGCAGGTCCAGGTGCTTTTAAAAGCACACTGCACTGCATCACATGCATTTGTATAAATGGCAAAATGTGCGTCAGCGCTGAGAAAATGGCGGCGGTGTGCTTTGAACTAAATCACACCTTAAGGTATTTTAGTTTCAAAGTGCACTGATGCCATTTTTTTAGCGCTAATGCACACTTCACGATTTATACAAATGCATGCGACACTGCGCCGGGCACATCAGTTCGTGCGCTCCACAGACTTGATTAATTGAGTCTGCTCCAATCTGCTGGATTTCCAGCATGTCGAAGCAAACAAATGTACGTATATAAATGCCCCTAATCTCTGCCACTCCAGGTTCAATCAACATTTTTATCTGACAGGCAGCTTTGGCCCACACTGGAGCAGCAGAGGCAGCGTTAGCTTGTGGCTGAATCTCAAGGACAGAGTTGTCCGGCAAGAAGCCCATTGCTCTCGAGAGCCGTGCCTTCATGGCTTTATAGGGACCCCTTGTTTGTCTTCTTCATTGTCCAGCTCCCTTGGAGTTTAGCACAGACTCTGCCTTCCAGCCAGCACAGTTCCTGTCATCGGAAACAGTGGGGCAGTCTCATCACTCAGTCAGGGTGGACGGTTTTCACGCTCTGCCTTTTTCCGTGCGAGATGGAGCTCTTGCTCTTTTGCTTTGCCAGCAAGGTCTGCTCCCAGGCTTGTTAGGAAAACAAGCAGATTAAGGCTCCGAAAACAGCCCTGTTTCCCCTCAGGGACTTAGAAACCCAGCTGGGGAAATACCTCACATTCCAGGAACTGTATCAGTATCTGCTTGCTGGTGAGCTTGCTCCCAGGCACGTACAATCACCAGGGGCCTTTGTCAATACCGATGGCCTTTGCATCGAGACCCAGAGGAGCAGGCTTATCAAGGGTGCACGTGAGTGCAGTACTGGTGACCCCAGGGTCTCGTATGACCTTGGGCCATCCATCAACCAGTTGAGTGGTGCCCTGGAAGCCCACTAATGCTCTTCCTTCAGGAGTTTGTTGCTGTCAGACAAAAGCTAGTTTAATATCTCATTTAAAAAAAACAGGAGCAAACGCAGCTGTGCTATGAGCACCTGTGGAAGGTTCCTCATAATGTATCCTTCTGCTCTAGGGTTGTTGGTTGTAGCCGTGTTGATCTACGGACATAGGCAAACAAGGTTCTATGGGTAGATGTGATAACTTTTATTAGACCGGCCAGCAGACTCTCTCTCTGCCTGAAGAAGGGTGTTTGTGCCCAAAAGCTTGCAAAGAACATTTTTCTCACTGTTTAGTTGCTCTAATAAAAGATATCACATCTACCCAAAGAACCTTGTCTGTCCTTCTGCTCTAGAAATTGGTACCCTGTGCAGAATTAAAGGATGGGGATATTCATTCTGTTGTTCGCTCCTTTGAATGCATGTGGGTTTTCTCAACTCCTGGTCCTGGGCTCTCTTCTTGGACTATTTGTGCCCATTTCTCCCCTAGTTCCAGAAGCCATGTGACCCTTTAGATTAGAGGTTGGCAACTGATGGCCCGCCGGCTGAATCTAGCCTTCAGAGGTTTGCGGACATGGGGGAGGAGGCTGGATAGATATCAGTTCCCTTCTGCCCTGTTTCTTCTGTCCTTTCTTCAGGATCCCCTTGTATCCTCCAGCTTTCATTTCCTGCCCCTGCTGCAGTGCAGCACAGCTGGGGGGTGCCACAATGACTGTGGTGGCAGCCCACATGTGGAGGGGGCCCTGTAGCCCACCAGGAGGCATATGTCCCCCAGGCACTCAGAAGTCAGACAGCCCTGCCACAATAGTGCTAAGGGAGCACTTTTTGCTTGAGTGAAGTCCTGACTGTGTTGCTAACAGGTGGTGCCAGATTGTCCTTGAACCTGAAAGGTGACTTGAGCTCTGTGTTGCCTTGTAGGCACCCGGCAGGCTCTAGCCTTAAGTCTGGTCTCCGCTCACAGTTGTTATGGGGGGGGTGCCGTCATGTCCCCTTTTTCTGTGCCACACACTAGTGTTACCCACATTCCTGCCTAGGAGATGCCTTTCAGTTGCTCCCTTTGGCTTGTTCCTGTAAAGGATTACAGTACCTTCCCCTGGCAATGTATATGCCCCCCCCCCCCCCCCCGGGAAAAGGATACCCCCCCCCCCCCCCCCCGGCGCCATGATTGGCAGAAGCCCAGAGAGCTGTGCAGTCATGACAGGACTGGTGTCCTAGCACAGCCATGCAGGGACTCATAAGCATTGGCTGGACAGGCCATGCTTCGATGAGACAGTCCTGTCAATCCTTTTTGCTTTCTCTTTTTCTCAGGGCTATGAGGGGCTGGTGGAAGGAGGAGAGAACATCAAACAAGCAAATTGGCTGAGCGTCTCAAACATCATTCAGCTGGTAAGGCTCTAACAGCAGCTTTTCGCTTTCCCTCTGTGAGTGCAAAGGCCTCTTGGTCTCTCTGTTTTTTGCTTTGCCACTCGTGCACATCTCTGGGCTGAGCTCAGAGCATCCCAATCTCCTGCATACGTTTTCTTTGGGCTGGGAGAAATGGTTTTGCATGTTGATGCAGTCGTAACATGCAGGGTCTCAGCACAGAATGCCTGGCCCTGGGTGGTCCCAGCTACATGGGGCCCAAACAGAGTTTGCTGACCAGGGTTTTATACCTCTGGCTACTCAGTCTGGCAGAGCTAAGCTATGTTGTAGCCAAGCTAAGAAACCCAGGCCCCATGGGGTCAAAAGGCTGGATCCCTCCAGCACGTGTTAAACAACAAACACAGTCAGTTTTAGAGACAGATGCTTCACTTTGTCTGTTCCCACTTGTAATCACAGGACTGCAGCTTCAGGGCCTGGGCCTGTGGAGAGGAGGCAGATGTGACTGCACCACTCAGAGTGTGTTTCTGCTCTGGGCACAGGGCAGCAGTGGGGGGAGGCAATCTCTGTAAGAGGCAGGTCCTCTGGAGGAGAGGTCAGTGCAAGCCCTCAGACACCATGACCAAGATGGGGGAACTCTCTGACTTGCACCTTGTCCTCCAGCGAGCAGGAGGGAACCTGCAGAAGGGACAGGAGTGGTGGCAACAAGCTCCTTCATCCTGCTGATATGTGATGTTTGGGATTCATCCATTTCCATGCATGCCTCCTTTCCTCCCCTCTTCTCCCCACCCACCACCACCTCCCTGAGACAAGAAGTTCATGGCTTTCTCTCTCTCTGTCCCCTTACATAACAGTGGCTGACCTCCTCCTGGAACATGTCTTTGATTTAATCTGGACTCCCACTTTGTCCCCTCACATGTCCCCCTCTCCTGCTTTCCTGAATCTCAAATCCCAGTCATATCTAGGCCTCCTTATATCCAAATCCTTCATTGGCTTTGGTCTTGTCTGCACAGCCTGACCAACCAACATCCTGCAAGCTGGAGAGCTGGATGGGGAGATAATAGAGTTTGGCAGTACCTGTGCTGATAGCCCATCACTGCAGTAAAAATATGCTTGATTTTTTTTTAAAGATCCATGGACCATATACTGTAAGAAGCCTGCTTCAGTAGGCCCGGTTGCAGTATTGTTGTCCCTGCTGCCACCCTTCAGTTTGTTCTCCAGCCAGGGATGGAGCTGGGCTGTAGGGAAGTCTCTTGGAGGGACAACTACATGGGAACCCAGACTTCACTCACAGTCTGCAGTGTAGACAGGCCTCAACGTTAAAGGAGCTCTGCTAGAAGGAAAATCATCATGTTTGGGTCCTCTAGTTGTTGCCCCATCTTGCTTCTTTCAGACATATCTGGGGTTTGATGCTGAGTTGAGAGTTTGCTTATGCTTTTTTAACCTCAAAGCTTCTGGACTGTCGAACCTGAGTTGAGTCTTCCCTGTGGTTTTGCTGACTGTCTCCTTGGAGATTTTGCACAGGGATTGAGGCAGGTCATCCTTACACAAAGGAGTGTCCTGCTAAACCATTAACAGAGCCATCCTGAGGAGTCTGACTTGAAAAGATTTCAGCAAAACAAAGGACCAAGTCTTCAGCTGGTATAAATGGGCATTGATCTGTTGAAATCGCATAGTCCATTTCCATTGCAGTCCACCAGGGTGGGTGATTTAGATCTGCTGAGGTTCTTGTTTACGCAAGGTGAATAAAACCCTCTGTGAATTTTGTAGCACAACTGTGCTAGTCCACAGAGCCTTTTGGAAATGCCAGGAGTGACAGACTGGGACTCCTAATGTAAAAAAGAAAAAAAAAACAAGCAAATTGCCTACCTCCCTTACAGACGCTTCTAAACCCTGAGAGTGCTACATACCTTTCTGGTCACTTTTATATGTCAAATTGTTTCTTTTTTCTAGCTGGCCTCCTGGGCCTTTCATACACTATAAAAACAGCCCTGTGTAAACCCAGCCATACAAGTTTGTAAATGCCAGCTTTGTGCCCTGAGGTTGCCCACAGTGGGGCCCTGCTGACCCCGGCAGCGTGTTAGCCCTATTCGAGCCCAGCCAGGATGTACTGTGTGCCAGTGTTGAGGCTGGAACTGCTCTGTTGGAAGGACCAAGAGGAGCCAGCTATGCCTGGCCAGACGGGAGCACTCTTTTCTTGGAGCACTTTCATTCCAAGCAGTGGTGTTTTATTTTTATCCCCTCTCCCTCCAGCTTCCTCCCTGATTTGAGCAGTGCGCCTGCCTGCCCTCAGGTAACACTTTGGTGCTGCATGTCCCCATGGGTCTCCTCATCTGTATGCTGCTCTCGAACAGCTGCTTCCTTCCCAGAGCGCCAGTCTGCAGGCCGTCTGTACTCAGCTTGCCACCTGCACTGCTTCAGCTTGGCAGTGCTGGCTTCGCGGTCCCCCTCCCACAGCAGACGGGCTGTGGAGCCTCGCTTAGGAGGGACAGGGGCAGTGATGTGACATTGGTGTCTTAGACATCATCTGTGGAAAGAGCTCTCTTGGTGTACTGTTAACCGTGCTAATGGCATGACTCCTCCCTCCCCCTCCCTTGAATGCAAGCCTTTCCAAAGGAGTAAAATCAATGGGGATAGCAAAATCTTGAAGTTTGTGGCATTTTGTGTCTCTCTGTCTCCTTTTCCTTTCTTCTGTAATGGTCTTTCTCTGAACCCCTCTGTTATGCATGTGCCCCCCTCACCCAGTCTGTACTTTGCTGGCCATAAAAATCCTTGGTGGAGCAGGGCAGGGGGAGGTTTATGCAGAGAACAGGACCAGTTCTTTACCCCTGCCACCAGTTGCTGTAGCAAGCTGGCAAGTTTGGTGGGGATAAAAGCAGTAATTAGGCCTTGCATGTATGTTTAAGGTATCTGTGTTAACTAATCCACTACACGAGCCAGAGGCAGGTGGTCTCCTGACAGGCTGCCCTGCCTCCCCTGGTGAACCAGGGGCACCTAAGGGAGCTTATGTTTCCATGTCTGCCAGCACTATCACCAACAACTTATCAAGCGTGCCCTGGCGATTAGACAGGCTGTTTAATGATGCAAAAGGAGCGGAGTGGAGGTCACATGAGCTGCCTTTCGGACAGGAGGAATGTTATCACTTTATAGGGCTTCATGTGTCAAAGATGCATTACACTAATGCAGCAGCAAAGAAGCCATGAGTGCCATGGGTCTGACACCTGGCAACGACAGTTTGCAGTGAAAGACCTGCCCCAGCCAGCTCAGTCATCCCCACTCTCCATCAGTCTCTTAGAAGGGAAAGAATCAAGGGCATTATGCAGCAGATGCAGGGCTCACATTTATGGAAGTGGCTGGCGGTAGGTTTCTAACGGAGACTTTTCCCACCTATTTTCTACCGGAGCAGACCGTGACGATTTGACTCAGAAATGTCTGCTCAATCCAGCCCTTCCCTGCCAGAGCTATGGTGCTGTGGTGAAGGAATGGGGGGCTGCTCTCTGTGGGTGAGATCTCTCAGTCTTCTTGTCAACAAGTCTAGGATGGCTCCAGGCAGGTGGTTCTGGGAAGGGCAGGTTGAAAAGTAGTATCTTCTTGGCTCGCATTTGCTGCAGCACACAGGACCTAGGACAGCTGGATAGGCCAGGGCCAGCATGAGGGGACCAGATGATGGGCCCTGATGAGAATTCCCCCAGCTCCTTTGCACACTGGGAATCTCGACTTCTGGAACATCTGGGTAGAAATAAGCTTCCTGCACCCACCCCTCTGCCCACAAAAAACCTGTCCATTCTTTAAGTGTAGCAGTCTAGTGCTACAATATCCTGTTTCTCTTTAGAGATTGTCCCAAAGGGTCTACACTCCCAACAGCCAGCCCCATCCAGTCAGCCCTTTGGTTTCCCCCATGGTACTGGCTGGCTTTCTCACATGCTTTGTTTATGTGTAGGGAGGCACGATCATTGGCAGTGCCCGCTGCAAGGCTTTCACCACGCGAGAGGGGCGCCTCCGGGCTGCTTACAACCTGGTGCAGCATGGGATCACCAACTTGTGTGTCATTGGGGGAGACGGCAGTCTGACTGGGGCCAACATCTTCCGGACGGAGTGGGGAAGCCTGCTGGAGGACCTGGTTAAAGATGGTATGTGCGGTCTGCTGTGTTGGACACATGTTAATCCCTGTGATAATCCCCACCTCCAAATCTACAGGAGAAATAAAACTGCTAGCAGCAGTGCACAGTTTTAAGCACAGAAAGTCAACTGGATATTCATAGACCTGAAGGCTGGAAGTGATCGGTAGGCTGCCTTGCCTGATCGTCTCTTGTCTCTCACAGGCTACAGGATTTTACCCCCTTGTGAAGCCTCATAACAACACAGATCTTCCAGAAAGGTGTCCAGTCTTAGTCTGAAGACAGCAAGAGAGGGCAGATCTACTCCTTCCCTTGAGCATTTAACCAGTGGAACAATAACTTTCTAATTTCTTCTGAATTTATCTGGCTTCAGCTTCCAATCATTAGCTCTTGCTCTGCCCTTTCTTGCTTGAAGTCCAGCATGCTTATGCACTTGACTCGATGGAGACCTAAGCTACTAAAATACCTATGATGCCTCTTAAATCTAGTAGACAGGATTCAGAGCTAGGAAATGCATTTCTGCCTTTGGTTCTGGAAGAAAGTCCCATCTTCCAAAGTATGATAGTAAAGTCAGTTTGATTGGCTTCTTCAAAGAGGTTGGTTTAACACCAGAAATTGCAGTTGAATTAACTACAAATTCTGTTCACAGAAAAATCACCCTGCAGCCTGTCAGACTTGGCTTTCTCTTGGGTAAATGGGAAGTCCTTTGGTTGATCCCATCTTACTGCTTGGAAGGCTCAGGACAGTGGCATCTGCTGTTGAGAGGCACCATTCAGGATGGTGGAGGAGGTTGCTAGATCAGTCTTAAGAGCCTTGTGAAAGTAGTGGTTTGTTTTTCAATGCAGGGCCCATTTTGCCTCTCACCCCATACCTCCGACAGAATTTTGCTTTGTGGGAGAGTCTCAGGAGTTGATCGATGCCCCCAGAAAACGTTTCTCTGTATTTTCCCCCAGGTCAAATCACTGAGCACGTGGCTCAGAAGTATTGTCAGCTAAACATTGTTGGCCTGGTGGGCTCCATTGACAATGACTTCTGTGGCACAGACATGACAATCGGCACAGACTCGGCACTACACCGCATCATGGAGGTGATTGATGCTATCACTACCACAGCCCAGAGGTGAGTTGGAAATCCCCACATGGCTTCTCTTTTGCAGTTGCCCCCTCTTAGAGATGGCAAACTGAACTGAACTCGTGGCAGTGTCATGGAATGACTGGTGTGGCAGGGTCCATGCTAGAAGTTGGTAAGGAATTATTTGGAGTCCCTGTAGCTGCACAGCCCCTGAGTCTGGGGCACAAACCTGTAGTGGGGGGTGGAGCAAAGGAGCATTGGATAGCTAAGCAGGTTTCTAGCGAAGGGTAGAGACTGCTCCAGAAAGCCTGACTCCAGCTTCCCCTCTTGTTTTTTTGCAGCCACCAGAGAACGTTTGTGTTGGAGGTGATGGGAAGGCACTGTGGGTAAGGAAAGGCCTGTGTCCTTTTGAGGAGGGAAGCAATATTGAGGGGGTGAGCATTGGGAAAGACTGTAAGGGGAGGGTAGAAGACCCCTGAAGGGGATGTGACTGGGCTTTAAGTGGGTAAAAATGGTGTGGGGAATCAGGGGGTGTATAAGTATGGTGTATGAACCTGGGCCATATAACAGTGAAGAGAAAACCCAAGTTAGAAATCATAGAGAAGCAGGGTTGGAAGGGACCTCCATAGGTCACAGTCTAACCCAGTCCCATGCCTTAGACAGGATCAGCCCTATCTAAACCACCTTGTACAGCTCCATAATCTAACCTCTTAGTAAAACTACTGTCAACCCAAACACAACACAAGACATAACACCCGAACCTGACACAGGTGAAGCAGGGGACCATGGCAGCCCACATCCTGCTTCTGTAAAAGGTTGTTAATGTACTCTCAAATGATCCCAGGTAGAGGCCATGCCCCATACTACAGAGGAAGGCAACCCCCCACCCCTTCATGCCAGTCTGACCATGGGTAAAATCCCTTCCTGACCCTAAATATGATAATTGGTCTGACCCTGAGCAGAGGGGCAAGACCCTCCAGCCAGGGACAGCTGGTCTTAAGTCCCAGCAGGAGCATTGGCACAGCCCGGTCAAAATCCCTAGCCTTGGCTGCAGCCAACACCCAGTGCCATTGAGGGAGGCTTAAATACATCTGGTGCATGTTGCAGAAAAGGGGGTTGGGGTATAGGATTCCTTCCCAGCCCCTTGTGCAACCAGGAAAGCCCAGAAACATAAGAAATACCCACAATAGATCACAGGTGTTGCTATGCCTAAATTATCCTTGACCAGTGGCTGTCCAGCTTCATCTTGAACATCTCCAGTGATAGACTGTCCACAGCTTCCCCAGGCATGGAGGAAAGTAGCAAATGTTCATTGGGCCAGTAGAGACGAGGCACTGTGAGCCTCTGGGGTTACTAGCCAAGTTGTAGGTTTGTAGGCATGAGCCATATTCAGGCTCACCTGACTGTTCACTTCATTCAACACAGCATTGTATTAATAGTTACTTGGTCCCTGGTGACATGTTTTTTTGCCTTGTTGTGTCTTGTCAGTCATGGATGGGTGTTCCTGGATGCTAACTTGTGTCTGCTTCCCTAGCTACCTTGCCTTGGTGTCTGCCTTGGCCTCAGGCGCTGACTGGCTTTTCATCCCTGAGTCCCCTCCTGAGGATGGCTGGGAGGACCTCATGTGTGAAAGACTTGGGGAGGCAAGTGCTCCATCTTTAGTGTGTCTCAGGGAGAGCAGTCAGTGTAGTGGTAAATCAGGAGCCACATACTTATTTCTCTGAGCTCATGGGTAGAGGTGTCCTGCTTCACTGGGCTGATGTGAAGCAGCAGACAGATTGCTGGAGGATTCAGCTGGCATCCTTCCACTGAAATGTCTCCCTTCCTGATCACCTACACAAGAGGATTTTATCTTCTGAAGGGGAAGAGCTGCCATTCTTCCCCACTTCCACTTCATCCTCCTTTTTTTTTTTTTTTTCCTATTCTCTCCTCCCAGAATTTTCATCTGCCTTGATCTTAGTTCTGCCGCTTGAGCCAAAATACCTTAGTTTCACCGCTGGAGACTATTACCAGTCTCTCTGGTTGTTATTCATAGTTTGACACCTACCAGGCTTCTGCTACAAATGGTTTAGGGCTAGAGGGCTGGTTCAGGTGTGTGGAAAGAATCTGCATGGGATGTACAGATCAGCTGTGGTGTCGGCTGACGACTGTGGTGTCACCTCTTTTGTCTTTGCCATTGCTTGCCTAAATGTGCTGTCTATCTCCTTCAGTGATCAAGACTCTTGTGGGTGAGATGACACAATGACCAAACCAGCTGACAGGGAAAATCCAGTTCCATTTTTCCTCCTTTAGGATTTTCCACCAGTGGGCGAGGGCTTGGCCTTACTCTGACCTTTTGGCCTCCTCTCGCATCACATGAGCACCCTGGGCCAGCTCCCCAGCTGACAAATTGGTTCTGCTCCAGTGAAATCACCAGACTCATCCAGCTTCACGCCAGCTGAGGGGCTGGCCCCTGCCAAAACCTAAGGGTCTTATTCCTGGAAGAGCCAGTGTATAACAATCTGTGCTCATCCTGATAGAAGGTCCCAGGGGGCAGTGCGACTCTCTTTAACACACAACTGAACTGAAAACGCATGTGAATGTGCCAAGAGAGAGCCCAGAAAAATTCGGGGTCTGGACCTTGCTCCCATGAAGGCAGCCATGGAGGCCCAGGCAAATGTCGGCATCTACTTGCTCCCACCTCTTTGTTGGGTGCTTAGACAGTCTATCTTTGTTCTAAGGGCTGGGTTAGTCCATGGGTCTCTAGAAAGGGCTAGTACCCTGCTGTTAGGTTGTGGTGGCTGGCAAGAGACCTCTTATAATTTCAGAAGAGGCCTTTCTGCATTCACAGAAATACAGAGCTCCTGTGCACCCTCTCCAGGTGTTTATCAAGGACCGGCTGTTGCTAGTAAGGCAGGGAGCTCCTTGGCCAAGCTCACTGTAATGTTAGTACCTCCCAGAGGGCACTGCCTGCCCTTTTGGCTTTGGCCAACTCTGCTAGCTAAGCTTAACTTGTCTCTTCATCAGGGAGGACTGATTTAAACCGATGCAATTTAAAACCTCCATGTGAATTTTCAGATAGAAAGCCTCAATTTAAATCACTAACTGGTTGTTTCCATTCTTTCCTAAAGAAGAGTGCAATTTCCTGGGTTCTTTCATCCAATAAAATGTGTAGGCTTACAACTTGGTGGAACCTGTACACTGGATTTGGCGTGCCTTTTTTTACTTGGGAAGGCCATGGTATAATTACAAATGCTTAATGAAGCAATGGTATGTTTTGATGCTTTCCGATCTTAGTCATTTTATATTTGCAGTATGCTAGAAAATGGTTATGATATATTGCCTGTTTACTAGATAATTTACTTCTAAACCTGTACATGATCCATAGTGCTCTGCTTATAAAGCTTGACCTCAAAAGTTGAATCCTCCTTTCTATAGAAAAGCACACAGCCTGTAACAGAAGGATTTTGATAGAGGTTCGTAGATGCACCAAACTTATTTTCTGTTTTAAGAGATTATTTAAAGAAAAAAAAAAAACTTTGGCTTTTATAGATAGTTTTCTATTAAATTTAGAGTTCATTTAAAATGGGTTTATTTTTGCAACAAGAAACTTCATATTATTTAACCAACAAAATTATTCAGCTTTTTGATAAGTTTCTTTAAAAAAATTAAAATAAAAAACACTCCATGGTTTTTATCATGTGTTTTTTTTCTTTGTGGCAGACACGCAGCCGAGGCTCCCGCCTCAACATCATCATCATTGCTGAAGGTGCCATCGATAGGAATGGCAAGTCCATCTCTTCCAACTATGTGAAAGATGTAGGTGGCAAGCTCGGGTGCTCTCTCCTGTTTGTTTTGGGCCTCTGCCAATGCCTTGTCCTTTAATCAGACTGCTCTTTTCTCTCCTGCGCAGCTAGTTGTCCAGCGCCTAGGCTTTGACACACGTGTCACCGTCCTTGGCCATGTTCAGCGTGGTGGGACCCCGTCAGCATTTGACCGTGTCCTGGTAGGTACAGTCTCCCTAAATGAGCGGGCTGCTTTTGTGTGGATGTGCTCGGTGTACCAACCCAGCAAAGATACTGGAGTACAGGTCATCTGTGCCATGGAGGATGAAATGCCCTGCTGTTTCTGGTGAGGTGAGCAGGACATGGGCCAGAGGGATGAGTGCTTCCCAGCATAGTGGGGGAAAGCACAGGTTCATTTGTGAAACACAGGGCTCGTTAAATGCAATGTGTGTGTGCTCAGCCATTTTGTACGGAACAGAGCTTGGCATTCTCCCTGCTTTCAGGAGCTTTCTCCTTTTTAATCCTCCACTAACTCTACTAATCTTAAATAATCTAGCAGTTCTCCAAGATCTTAAGTATCTGAATTGGACAAATAGCCAGCTGAGTCACATAATCCATGGTTCAGTCATAAAGCCATGCAGCTCTGTTCTCCTCTCACAAGGGCTGTGCTTATGGCATATCCAGTATCCCCTACATCTGTTCCTGTATGCCCATTTTAACAAGTGGGAATGCAGGGCCTTCCCCTGGAGGTACTACAGACTGGGCCTCTCTCTGTGCCTCTGTTGGGCATGTGCACTGCCCTAGGGGAGCTTCCATGGAGAGTGGAAGTGTTAGTCTGAGGGATCTTTTAGTGATGGTATGTTTGTGCCCCACCAGCCCAGTCTTCCTCCGTGCTTTGTGTGTGTGCTTTTGTGTCTACATGCCCTCACAATGTTTTGCATCAATAGTTCAGTTGCACACTTGAACACCTGGGCAGGGCTTCCACCAGTGTGTCTGCCTGTCACACGGAGGCTTAAGTCCTCTGGTGCAGCATGTGACGGGGTGTGTTTGCACTGATGAAGCCACCCTCTCAACTGGTTTCTTGTCCCCTTCACAGAGCAGCAAAATGGGGATGGAAGCTGTCATGGCGCTGGTGGAGGCGACGCCTGACACCCCTGCCTGTGTGGTGAGTCTTTCTGGGAACCAATCTGTCCGGCTGCCCCTCATGGAGTGTGTTCAAGTGGTAAGTACCTAAAAGCTGGCTCTAAGTATGTGTGGGTGGGTGTTGTGGAGAGGGGGAAAGGATCTAGGTAAGCAAATTCCACTTTTCTGCTTTATTCAGTGATTTCCTTTGGGGCGGGATAGCAACTCACAAGTGAGGAAAAATGCATTTGGGGGCCCCTATAGGTTTAAAATCCTAGCCCACCCTTTCTGTTGCTGCTGGAGCTAGGCTTGAGCATTACTGTCAGGGAATAGGCCAAGCATGCATTTAATTTTTAACTCTATCTTGGTGCTTTTGCTTGTTTCTGTTGAATTTACTGGGACTTTTTTTTCCCCTCTCGCCTCACAATACTTTTAAAGACAAAAGATGTTCAGAAAGCAATGGATGAGAAGCGGTTTGAAGAAGCAATCCAGCTCCGGGGCAGGTAAGAGCAGCAGCTCTGTTAGAACTAAGCATGAGTGATGCTTCCTATCTAAAAGGGAGTACTTTAAAACCCACAAGCTGACTTGGATTACCCTGAAATTTGCTGTGTTGTGTGGGGATACAAGGAAGCAATATTCCCTCTAAAGAGTAGTGGTCCGTGAGCGTGCGGCCTTGGTCCAGCATGGGATGCTTACCGCTGGGGGCTGGAGGCCAGGGGCTGGGGCAGAGGGGCTGGAGGCTGGAGCTGAGAGGCTGGGGCCAGGGGCTAGAGCTGGGGGAGTTTTGCAGGTGTCAGCACCACCCCCCACATCAATCTCCCTGCACAACAGGGCACCAAAACTCCTTGTGTGGGATGGGGTTGTGGGCAGCTGGGGAGCTGACATGAGGACAGGTGGACATCAGCTTCAACAGGGGTAGCTCAGCCAGGGCTGCCACCTCTGGCCTGTCCTTATGCCCCATGGAGGGACTGGAGGTTTGGCAGCGGCTACCCAGGCATGGAGGTGATGGCTACTGGGCAGAAGCTGCTGCTGGGCATCAAGAAAAAGCAGGACCTGGCAGTGGGCACAGCCACCTCCCCCTCACCACTGCTGGGACCCTTCTTGCTGTGGCCACCTGGTGCCCATGCCAGGGCTGCCCTGCAGTTCCTCCCCAGTGCCCCACCAGGTGTGGGGCCTGTGGTGGCCTGGAGTTGGCACTGGCTGCAGCAGGAAGGAGCTGCAGGGCAGCCCCAGCACAGGCTCTGGTCAGCGGTGAAGGGGAAGCAGTTATGCCCACTGCCATGTCCTGTTTTTCCTTGGCACCCAGCAGTAGCTTCTGTCTGGCCACTGCCGCTGCTGCTCATCGTGGCTAGGACAAGCTAGTCTAAAGCAGGCACTGCAGGGACCCTGACCTCCTGCACAGAGTGGGCCAGGGCCAGGGCCAGATAAAATCCCTTTGCTGCCATATCAAGCCCATGCGCCATATTTTTCCCACCCCTGATCTAAACTCTTTGTAAAACTGCTGTCAACCCTGACAAGACATAACACCCAAACCTGCCACAGGGAAAGCAGAGAGACCAGGGCAGCCAATGTCCCTTTTCTATAAAAGGTTGTTAATATAAGTTCAGAAATCACAGGAAGAGGGCCATGCCACCTCTACAGAGGAAGGCAAAACTCCCTCAGTCCATACCAGATTGACCATGGGGTAAAATCCCTTCCTGACCCCAGAAATGGCATTGGTCTGACTCTGAATGGAGGGGCAAGACCCTCTAGCCAGGAACCTCTGACCTTAAGTCCTCGGCTTCACTACATTGACATAGCTCTACTGAAGTTGATGGATCTATGCTGATTTATCTCAGCTTAGGGGCCTGGCCCCAGCTGTGTCCTTGTTTGCTAAGGAGACGGAGTAGATTCTGGGAAAAAGGAGAGTCCTGGCCTCATGCTGGACTTGAGAGAGCACCAGAGTATAAGGAGGAGATATCTTACTGAGGAGAATCATGCTCATTAAAGAGCTCTTGGTATGTTACCATCTAGCCTGAGCAATCTTCTCTTCTCCAGGAGGATTTGTATCCGTCCTTGCTGGAAAGGCTAGCCTGTCCCTTGTCTTCTGTCTGCCTCAGCAAGCCCCAGGCAGATCATTGGGTCCCTTACTTGGCAGCTTATATAGCTCAGCAAATGGGAGCTGTTGTCTGAGGCATATGTCCCCTCTGCCTGCTTAAATTTATGCCCTCCTGCCTTGGGACTGGTCACTGACTCAGTGGGGTTTTGATACAAAGTTTGGTTTTCTTTGTAGGAGCTTTGAAAATAACTGGAACATTTACAAGCTCCTAGCGCACCAGAAGCCAGCCCAGCAGAAGGTAAGAGGACTGGAAAGAAGGGAAAGCACAGCTTGGGCTTACCAGTATCATGCAGCGGATCTTGGTCTTGTAAAAGATGTGGGCAGGTGTGCACAGGCACACATGTACGTGGTCCCTCCCCTTTTCTGGAATGCTTATACTTGTCTGCACACCGCGATGCTGCCCGAGCATGCACAGATCTGGACTCTCCTGGGCACCACATCGGCATTTTAGATTGAGTTGGTTTGAATAAAATCTCTGTTGCTCTTAGCGAGAGAGATCTGATGGCATGGGAAGCTGGAGAGATGGAGCAGTGGCCAGAGCTGTGGCTTGCTACTCTTGCAGGGGCTGTGTGAGGAAGAGATGATGTCCTGTAGTAAGGCCCCTCTCAGGCACAGACAGAAAGCAAGTAGTGGAGTAACCAAAGTTTCTTTCAGCCTCCCTCCTTGGATGCCGGAGGCAGCCAGCAGGGGAAACAAGTGAGAGCTGCGGCAGGGTGAGGCTGACAGACTCTATGCGGTCCTGACTCAGAGCCCAGCTGCTTTAGGAGCTGCAAGGGAGACACTTGGGACTCCCTTTCCCCAACCCTCTAAATAAAGGGACTGATCCAACCAGAATCACAGGCCACAGGAGCCTGTGACCCTTCAGAGCTTTTCTGGCCTGTGAGGCAGGGAGTTGGTGGGCTGAGGTCTGCTCTATCCATGCTCCTGACACTGGGCACAACAGCAGTTCTCTCCTGGCCCTAAGCTCTACAAACTGATGGCTCTGCTCTCTTTCTGCCCCCTCTCCCCACAGAGCCCGTTCACCCTGGCGATCCTAAATGTGGGTGCCCCAGCAGCTGGGATGAATGCTGCTGTCAGGTCAGCAGTGCGCATAGGCATTTGCAAGGGGCACACGGTTTATGTGGTGAATGACGGCTTCGAAGGCTTGGCCAATGGGCAGGTAAGGGTCCCCAGCTGGGGGAGGGTTGGGCCATGCTCAGTTGCCTGCTCCTGGGGATCTTGGCTTCAGTCCAGTTTCTTTTGTGAATGTTGCCTCAGCGGCTTGTCGCTGACCGCCACAGCAAGTGCTTGCCCCCCTTACCAAATCGACATGTGGCCTTGTACTGTTCAGAAGGATGGGGAAAGCAGGGGTCGCTCACCCAGTGCTAGAGCTGGGAGTAGAGGCACCAGAATTATCCTGGAGCCTGCCATCTTGTCAGGACCCAGGTTTGCTGAGTAGATGTCTTGGGACTTCTGGCAGCATGGCCGGGATGGGGGACTGTTGCCAGCACTGAAACAAAGTGTTGGCTTTTGCAGATCCACGAGGTGGGCTGGCACGACGTGGCGGGCTGGCTGGGACGTGGCGGCTCCATGCTGGGAACCAAGCGGTGAGTGCTATGGGTGAGCCGGGCAGGTGAACCCCTGTGGGCTTTGACCCCATGCCATACGTGGAGGGGAGAGGGCAGTGGTGGGAGGGCCACTCCATGCCTCGTTGGCTTCACTGAACACCTGAGATGGGGCAGGACAAAACTGGAGATCACTAAGGCCAGGACTCAAGTGTCTCTGTTATCTGCTGGCAGACAAGGTTCTTCGGGCAGATGTGATATCTTTTATTAGACCAACTCAATGGTTGGAAAAATTGTTCTTTCAAGCTTTTGGGTACAAACACCCAAAAGCTTTGAGTACCCAATAATTGCAAATGACAATTTTTCCAACTATTGAGTTGTTGTAATAAAAGATACCACATCTACCCAAAGAACCTTGTCTGCCTATGTCTTGAGACTGACACAGCTGCAACCAACACCCCTGAAACATCTGTGATCTGCTGACAGACAGTACTGGCCTCATGCACCCATGCAGCAAGGCGTGCTGGGGGGCCTGAGCTGCCATGCCCTGCCATAGCCTCTCATCTCAAGTCACTGGCTGCAGAAGGCAGCAAACCGAAATGGCTGCATCCCAGCAGCTTGGGACCCAGAATGCAGAGGTGCCATTGCAGGCAAGTGCTCTCCAGTTTCCTGGAAACACAGGAGAGTGGCCTGCTGCAGAGAGCCGTGGGTCCCTTGGCCAGTTCATTGCTGTGGTTACAGCACAGCTGCCAGGGGGGCTTGGCTCAGGGTTTATTTGGAACTGATGACTGCTGTCAGGAGCAAAGACCCTTGAGTAAAGGAAACCACCCCCAACTGAGGGAGAGAAACATTCACCGCACCGTAGATGGCCTCTTGGGTTCTTGGCAGCAAGGAGCTGCCTGTGCTCTGAGATGTACCTCTGAAGCCAGTGGGGTTGTAAACAGGGATTTATACATGTCTGAACCAACTGGGAGCAGAACTTCAACAGGTTGCATCTTCCTGACTGAGCTATACCATATGAGTCTGCTCTGACCACAGCAGCTCTGCAGAGCTTCCTCCATGGAGTCTCCAGTACCTTCTTACTGCATGGTTGCTTTGGATCATCTCTGTATGTTCTCTGGGCCAAGCCGATACCTTCAGCCTCAGCTCCCCCTGGCCCTGTGCCTTCTCCCTCTGTGCTGCATCTGGTTACTGGTGCTCATGTGCCAGTTGTTGCCCCTTCCTCTGACATGAGTAAGAAACAGGTGGAATAGTTCCCTTCCTCTGTGGCTGGATGCCCTTCTGTAGCAATAACTGTGCCTGGGAGAAGGACCCAGGCAGTTTGGGAATGTAGCTGTATGAGCCTGGCTGCCTCCAGTAACTGAGTTTGGATTGGATCCCTAGGGCCAACTGGCCAACCCTCTCCTCTCTGCAGCTGCAGGTGTGGATTGGCAGGTTGGCTTCCCTACCAGCAGGAGCCCTCTTTGTGCCATCTGTGATGTTTGCCAAGGTCTAGACCAGGGGTTCCCAAAGTTTCACCCCTGAAGGGCCATTTGGAAAGGTCAATCCTGGCTGGTAGGCCACCTCAAATAGGCTTGCAGGCCGTATTTGGCCTTCAGACTGTACTTTGGGACCACTTGGTGCAGACAAACAGAGCTGTATGGGTAGCTGCTAGTGTTAGTGGGAAACTGGGGCTGAGTGGGTTTAACAGTCCCCATTGCCTCCCTTCACCTTGTGGGGGTTGCAGTGTAGTTCACCCAAGAGAGGCTGAAAAAAAGGCTTCATGGTCTGTCTGTCTGTCTGTCTGCTCATGCACTTGTAAAGAAGACTGTCCTTCCAGGGGTGGTCAGGAAGTAGGTGCCTGCAACTGTCCAGTTCAGCCCCATCTCCCTGGGAGCTTAATGCCAGATTGCCCCCTCTGGTACAGGAGTGGGCAAAATATGGTGCTTGAGTCAAATCTGGTCTGCGATGACTCCATTTCCCGACAGGCCTGGTGGCAGCAGCTCCTTCTGACTGCCACAGCTGGGCCCAGCCTCACTGCCTGGGCATCTTGGCCCATCCACCCCACGCCCAGTATCATGGGTGGGACCTGTGCAGGCAGGGTGCTTGGCCGGGTGGCTGGGAGGGGGCAACGGCCAGGAGCAAGACAGGCTGGCAGGGCCAAGGCAGAGCTGCAATCTGCTGCCTGCTTCCCCGTGCGACAAGCACAAGTTCTGTGGGCAGGAGCACGCAAGGAGCAGATCACAGCTCTGCTGCAGCCCTAGCCCCACACTGTCACTGCCCCAAGATCCCAGTCCCAGCCCCGGATATAGCTCCCAGCCCAGCCACACAGCTTCTGGCCAGTCTCCATGGAGACCCCAGGATCATGGGGCTGAGACGGCATGGGGCCAGGGCTGGGGCAGAGCCCATTCCACAGGTAGGGGCATGCAGGGAGCACATCGTAGCTCTGCCCCGGCCCCGTGCTGTCACTGCTCCAGATCCCACCATCTCCCCAATTTCACCTGCCTGTCTTGCTCCCAGATGCGGCCCCATCCCAGCCACCTTACTGCATACCCTGCCTACCCAGGTCCTGCCCCCGGTGGCAGGTGCAGATTGGACAGGCCGGAGTGCCCAAGCAGTGGGGCTGGGTCAGACAGCAGCAGCCAAAAGGAGTCGCTGCCAATGGGGCTGCTTGAAAATGGAGTCCAGCCATGGGCTGGATCCGCCGTTTTGCCCACCCGTGCTCTGGTATGACCCTCTGCATCAGAAGGGACCCAGCCACTCCTGCATCTAGCTTGTTAGTTGCATGGGAGTGTATTTTTGAGACCATTTCCACTGTCCTCACCATTCTGTCTCCTGCCCTTGGTGGAAAGCTCTAGCTCACAAATGACAGGGAGGGAGGTTTTTTTCTGTCCCATCGGGTAAAGGTTTCTAGGGGACTTTCCTGTGCCCCATTGGAATCCTTCTATGTTGCTTGGTGCATGGATGTTATAGCTGGAGGATGTAAAGCTATGTATGAATGGATCCCAGGGCTTCATGTGGATGGTCTGCACTCAGCCTGTTTGTCATTTTCTTTTGCAGAACTCTTCCGAAGACATGCATGGAGAAGATTGTGGAAACTGTGCGGAAGTTTAACATCCAGAGCCTGCTGGTCATTGGAGGATTTGAGGTGCAGTAAGGGCATCTGTCCTTTTTCTTGTAATGGTCTGCTGTGCCTCTGCGAGCTGGTGGAAAAATGCCAGCCCAGAAGCAGCGCCTGCTCTGCTGGCCACTGTGTAGACATCTGAGCACACAATAGAGCCTCTGTTGTCTGAGGGCAGCAGCTTCCTCCCTGCATGAGATCTGTGCTGGCTGCTCCCAGCACAGTGTGAATGTTCCCTGCTGATTAATGACCCCTCTGATAATTCCAGGCGGCTGCCATTCCTTTTTAAGTAAAACCCTGCCTAGTGCTGGCATGTGTGCTTTAATTAAACAGTCACCAGCAGAGATGTCAGGAGAATTTCTTAGCATGAGTGAATGGATGAGTTTCCTTACAAAGAGCTGTGAGTTTGCCTGCAGTGGGCTCAGTGGTCTTAGTCCAGTCACTAGTGGGCACACTGGCTGTGTGCCACCAGTGATGGCTCTGAGGGCCAGGCAGGTGGCAGGCTAAGAGGAAGACCAGCAGCTAATTCCCACCTCTCCCCATCTTCCATGCTATTGAGGGGCTCCTGTGATTGCTCTTTGTCATGGGTGGCTGCCTTGAGGGGTGAATAAGAGATTTTGGTCTCCGCCAAACCCTGGCTCTTTTTGTAAGCATGAGAAGCCCCAAGGCAGCTGCCCCATGCAGGGAGAACTGGTCTATCTGTACCCCCGTAGCTGGTGGAAGAAGGGAAAGCATCTCCATCATCCTGACAATTTTTCCTTCTCTAACCCCGTTGCCTCTTGCAGGCCTATGAGGGGGTGCTGCAGCTGGTGGAGGCACGGGGGCAGTATGAGGAGCTTTGCATCATCATGTGTGTCATCCCAGCCACCATCAGTAACAACGTGCCTGGGACTGACTTCAGCCTGGGCTCTGATACGGCCGTTAATGCTGCTATGGAGGTGAGTTGAGCCTTGGGGGCAAGGGGCGGAGGGAGAGCAAGTTGCCTCTGCCAGGGCAGGCAGGGAGCCCATTGCTGCAGTGAAGTATATTCCCTCTCCCCTGTATCCTGTGTGGTTATTGCACTGGGTACACATTGGAGGCTGGAGCCTGGCTGAAACATAGCTCAGTGATAGTGGCAGAGCCAGTCCCTGATTGGGGCCTGAGGTTGGTTCCTTAATAAACCTTTTATCTTAGCAGTAAAACGTCATTGTAGCAAAGACCCTGTAAGCAGACAAGGCAGGGGAGGGATGAGCCCCTCACTGAGGGAGGTGGGCATGGCCCTCTGGAGCTGTCCGGCAGGCTGGGATGAGCAGTCTGTGAGGAGAGGCTGCGACGGGAAGGTTTGGCCTGAATTTCCCATTGCCTCATTCTCTTTTGCTTTGCAAGTCAGGGCCATGGCTTGGGAAGGGATGAAGGAAGCTCAGACCCACGTAGCAGCTTGGTCATTGCAGGGACCATGTCAGGCGATCTCAGCCTGAAGCCAACCTGGACCTGTAGACACACCCCTGCATGGCACACCCCTGCAGTTGGTTTTGTGGTTAGGGTGGGGGCTGCGCTTGGCACTGTGCAACCCTTGCCAGCACACTGAGTCAAGGGTGTTGCCATTTGCTTTCCGCTTCTCTACAGAGGAGCTTTATGGTGAAGCCTATCTCCTAGCACAGGAGGCTGCTAGGCGGGCCAGTGGCCTGTCTTGGGGGGCAGATACAGCAGTTTGCAGGGAGGCGAGCTGCAGCCTGCCCTTACAGCGGCTTGCCCTCACAGCGCCCTGCTCTCCTGGACTGCAGACCTGCCAGGCGCAGAGAGATGCCTATTTTTCCTCCTCTGAAGGATAGAACAGCTGCTCCCCTGTCTTTCTTGTCTATGTGCAGCATGTAGGCTCATTGTTAATACAAACATGAATTTTAGTGCTGTGGATGTATTCATCTGGTGTCTGCTGGTGACTCAGGGCCCACTGCACTTGGTACTAGACTGGCATGAGCTCCTGGATTGTGCCTGGGACACATCTAGCACTCCGTTCTGTTCAGTAATGAATGGAACCCAGCTCTCGCACCAACCCACTGCTTCTTCAGGCACTAGCCAGGTAGGTCATGGCTTAGACAGATTCTGCTGTCATTACATCACAGAATCATTCAACTGCTGCTAAAAAACATCCCCTCTAGATAAATCTTTCTGCACCTGGGAAGCCTTGAAGCACTAGCAACATGTAGAGGCATGAGCTAGAGATGAGCAACCATTCCCTCGGTTGAAACCCAAAGTCCCTGAAAGTGGGCATGATCTTTCTTCCCCACTGCCTGCAGACTAGTGTGGTGTATTCTTGGGCCGACTAGGGAGCTGATGCTGGTATGATGTTTATCTGCTGGGCCTGCTGCCCTGAACATCCTGCTCCAGTGATGTCGTGGCCGTGCCAGCTTCTATTCAGATGGAGGGAGTGAAGTGCTTTACTAGAAGCGCCCACATGCTCTCCAGCCAGGCTGTGGGTTGCTGTCAGTCTCTGAGCACATTTCTGATGTTTCTCTTGGCAGCCCACTGTCAGCTGAAGCAATGCGGGGTCTTGGCACCAGACCTTCCTCTCCTGGGGACTGAGAATGAGTGCAGACAGTCTGATCCTTGTGTCCCTGCCTGGAACATCACATCCCTCAGTTCTGGGTTTGGAGTGTTTGTAGCCAGGCCAGGCAGGGGGGCTTGATTTTTTTCTGTGAGAGCTTTGAAATGCAGGCATATCCTGACTATAGGAGGTTTCAGCCACCCCTTGTCCATCTGCCCAGCCGTGGGTCCACCTGTTGCAGGAAACTCTGTGTTGCAGGCATCCTACAAGCCCCTCTGGCAACCTGGCCAGTTCCAAACTAGAGAAGGAGCCTTGGAAATCTGTATCCAACAACCTGCCTGCTGCCCAGAGATAGCAGTGGGTCATGATGCAGACACCCAGCCTCAGCTGCTGGCCCCAGCACCCTGGGGTTCAGCCCGCATGTTATGGAATTTGATCATCATCAGGGCTCCACATACAGTTCGGTCTTGCAGCACCTGTGCTAAGGCCCAGTCCTTTGCCATAGGACTTGACTCCAAGTTGAACATTTCCATCCGCAGTGGAATCAAAGCCTAAACATCCCTACCTAGAGACCTAAAGCATTAGTCTAAGCCCCTACATACAACTGCAAAGGTGCTACATGGAGCTGTGGGTGTCTGACACCCCTGCAAAAATCAGTCCAACAGCCCCACAAGGTGAGAACTGCTGTTTGTTGTCAGGTGTTCACTCTGGAACATAACGACTATTTAAGTATCCATGTTGTGAGCTCTTTTACTACATCACTATCACGTGCTTATCCCACAATCTTCAAGTGCTTATTCCTTCACCTCCCCAATGTCCTGAGGCTTCTGTCATCTCCCATCATGTTCAGCTTGCCACACAATGCAACAAGGAGGTAACAGTGCAAAAAAAAAAATGAAAGGCAGGGTCACGAAGAGGCACCTTTCCCCTGTGCACCCCACCTGTCTGCGCTTCTAGTGCATGTTCCCTGGGCTGGCCTGTGTTGTGCACTCTGACTTTGCAGCCATTTACTTGGTCAACACAGTGCCGTTTTCTTGAGCAGCCTCTGGGCTCACTCATGCTCCAAACACTGCCTGCGGAGCCACTGACATACCCCAGGTTACAGAGAAGAGCCCCAGCCCTCTTGCAGTCCTTATGCCAGTGACAGGCTAAAGTCTACAACCTCCAGCATCCAGAAGCAACAGCCATCCTCCCTCACCAACACTGCAAGAGCAGAGATCACAGTCTGCCAGGCCCTGCCTCCGTGCACTGGTATCAGTGCCCCAACAGGATGTCTGGATAGAGGCTTGGCATGACGTTTATTGGAACCCGCTGACTGCAGAGCCTCACGTGCCCGAGTGAGATCCTTTCTCCTCTCATTGCCCAGGGAGGTGGGGAGGTCTCCATGCATGAAAGCACAGCTTCAGTGCCATCATGCCAGTCATCACGGGCACTGAAAGGTATTTTTATTTCTTCTGCTTACCCAGCCTGGAGTCTGCTGCCTGCTGGATCAGAACCCAATATGGCGAGTATGGCAGTCAGCCATGCCATACTCGCCACCAAACACTTTGGCCCCTTCCAGCACTGGGACGTCTCTGCATTGCTGAGGGTGGTGAGGGAGATAGCTGTGAGGGCTTGCATGTTATCAGTCAGCTCAAAAGCAGTGCCTGGTAGATCACCCATGCACAGTAGGAGAGGCTTAGCTTGGGGCTTAATTTTCTCATCATGAATTCTGCGTTTTTGTTCCCAGTATGGGTTCTGGGAGCCCAGTTAAGTGTCCTGTATGCCAAGACTCAGGCTGCTTGGGATGTAAGTAAACAGGGGTGGATCCAGAAGGGGAGCACTTGCACTCTCCTTTGATTCCTCTCCACACAAAGCTTAAAACCAGCTGCCTTGCAGTTCTGGTCAGGCAGTGCTGAAGGAGTCATTGGACTTCATGGTTCACTATCACCTACCTGATCCCTTCTAAACTCTTCATTCCACAGGTGTTAACAACCCTCTCTTACCTTAAATGGTCTTGTACCTACCAATCAAGTTTTGTTCTACAGTGCTGCTATCTGTTCCCTGTTTCTGGTAATGAAGCTCATATTTTGTAGGTCTGCAGCTTGTTTTTAACTTATTTCAATTAAGTTCTATTTGTTTTTGCTTTAATCCAGCCCTAGGACCATGGTTTCATAGATTCATAGATGTTAGGGTCGGAAGGGACCTCAATAGATCATCGAGTCCGACCCCCTGCATAGGCAGGAAAGAGTGCTGGGTTTAGATGACCCCAGCTAGATGCCTGTCTAACCTTCTTGAAGACCTCCAGAGTAGGGGAGAGCACCACCTCCCTTGGGAGCCCATGCCAGACTGTGGCCACTCTAACTGTGAAGAAGTTCTTCCTAATGTCTAGTCTAAATCTGCTCTCTGCTAGCTTGTGGCCATTATTTCTTGTAACCCCCAGGGGCGCCTTGGTGAGTAAAGCCTCACCATTTCCCTTCTGTGCCCCCATGATTAACTCATAGGCAGCCACAAGGTCGCCTCTCAACCTTCTCTTGCGGAGGCTGAAGAGGTCCAGGTGCCCTAGTCTCTCCTCATAGGGCTTGGCCTGCAAGCCCTTAACCATACGAGTGGCCCTTCTCTGGACCCTCTCCAGGTTATCCACATCCCTCTTGAAGTGCTGCGCCCAAAATTGCACGCAGTATTAGTGCAGCTTCTAGTTCATTTTTAACTGGAAAAAATATGTTTTATGTGATGATGCACTTCACTGTGTGCACCCCTCCCCCCCTTTTCAAAATTCTAGATCTACCCATGCAGGTAAATCCAGGTCCATGCGAGGGTTACTTCTCACTAGGTGCCTCTTAGTGCTTCTCTCTCAAGCCAGGATGCTGGCACCTCGCACAGTTCAGACCTCAGTGTGAACACAACCATCTTCCCTATTGCTTGTGCAGAGCTGTGACCGCATCAAGCAATCCGCCTCCGGTACAAAGCGCCGTGTGTTCATCGTGGAGACCATGGGGGGTTACTGCGGGTACCTGTCTACCGTGACTGGCATTGCCGTGGGAGCAGATGCTGCCTACGTATATGAGGAGCCCTTCACCATTCATGACCTAAAGGTGAGGGGAAGGAGTGGTCCTCAGGTGTGCCACAGGCCTGGGCTGAGGTAGGGGAACTGTTTGTGTCTCTGTGTAGTATTAACTCCATGTGTGTGTAAGGTGATTAGAGAGATGGTTTTTCTTGGCATTCACTTATTGCCTGAGGCCTCTCCTGTAGCACAGGGATGGCCAACTTCAGCACACATGCCATAAGTGGCACAGGCAACACCTGTGCCACACAGCAGATGTAGAAGGGATCAGGCACCATAGGAGTAGATAGGACAAGGGGCAGAAAGCCGAGCAACAGATTGGGCAGGGAGTGCAGGGCAGGGAGCAGAAAACAGCAGCAACTTGGACTGGTGCTTGAACAGGCTACTGTCGTGCCTGCTACCATGAGGATCATGTCTCTCTGTCTACAATGCATTTAAGCTCTGGATCCCTTTTCTGGAGTGGGCAAAGGGACTCAAAAGCAGCAGAAGTCATCTGAGAAGCTGAGGAAACAATACTTCAGCCAAACTAGAATTATGCTCCCACCAGGGAAGAGCCTAAGGAGAGAGGCAATGGGGAGGTGGGGAAATGGCAGATATCCTCTATCCGGTCATTTCTGTGCTGCCCTGGTCCTGGTCCTATGCTGGCCATGTGCTCACAAAGATGCACCCTCAGAGGCCTGTGGTTATGCCTGGTCTGTGCAGCCTCCCCTCCCTGACAGCATATAGCAGCTATTGGTTGCCAGGCCCTGATGGGAGAAGGGGTGGGTTCTGCTCATAGGATAAGGGTAGAGCATGGTTTGTGCTGAGCAGGTTGCTCTCCTGGTGGAGTGAAGCCAGTGTGGAGGAGAGGGGAGACAAGAGTGAGCACTCATGGGCACGGGTGTGTGGGTGGGGGGGACAGTGCAGAGTGCAGTTACAAGCCCACCCATGTCTGTCTTCTAGGCCAATGTTGAGCACTTGACTGACAAAATGAAGACTGATATTCAGAGAGGCCTGGTGCTCCGGTGAGTCAGCCTGGGGGGCCTTTTGTCTGCCCCAGTGTCTGGAGGTCAGAGGGCCATGAAACAGAACTAAGGTCTTAACCCACAGCACAGCACACAACCAGACTGCATGAACTGGGGCAGCAAACCTACCTGCATCCATGGCAGAGTTGCTGGCCCAGGAACATTTATTAATTTTCTACTGACAAGCTACAGACTTTTTACTGACAACCAAACTTTTTTACTGACATGTTTTATGTCATGTAAACTTAGCACTTCTGCAGGTCCTTGGACAGCAGTAACAAAGTTAAAGGTTTAACATCACCTTTCTAAATCTGACTTGAACCCCCACACAACTGAGAAAATGAATTTTAACTGCATGTTCTAACACAGGGGCGGGCAACTATTTTGGGCAAAGGGCTGCTTACTGAGTTTTGGCAAGCCGTCAAGGGCTGCATGACAGGCAGCCCAGGGCAGATAAATATTTATTTTCTAAATTTTTTAGGGGCCCCACAGGCTGGATAGAATGCCCTGGTGGGCCACATTTTGCTCACCCCTGTTCTAACATCAACAAACCTCCCCACTTGCAAGCAGAATTCAAGTAAAACAGGACTTATTACAAGAGGGGAAAGGGATAAACACACAACTTAGAACAAACCTCAACCATTAAGCATTAAGTGAACCTCAAACAGTTAATAACCTCAGTCACTAGCAAAGCAACCCAGGGGAGCTAGCACCTAGCCCAGTCCATTGGGAAGGGAGACTCACCCAGGGCCAGCTGCAGATTGAAGTTCTCATCCTCCACTTGCAGCCTGCTGTTGCACTCAAAATCGCCACAGAAAGGCACGCAGGTTCAAGCTCTAAGCAGTGGCGCAGAAACCAGTTCTTACTGCAGTGTGGACTGAACTGTAAAGAGTGCCAGTGAAACAGTTCTGAGGCCCAGGTTGCTGACTGGTCTCCTTGTGGAGCTAGTGACACCCCACGTGCCCCCTGTGCAGGACCTGCTCTTCTGAGGGGGTTGCTTTCAGCTGCTCTAGGGGCTAACTGGGAACTCTTGATTCCAGCTTTAAATCTATATTTTATTTCCCAGCCTGGCAGGTGTAAGCAAAGTTGAGCTCCGGGAGGCCAAAGAGGTTAGAGCTGTGAGCAGCAAACACTGTAGTAAACTGAGGTTCAGGTTGGGAAAGCACAAGCCAATGCTTTTAAGGAGAAAGTGTGACAGGCAGAAATCCAGGGGAAAGAGGAGCTGCCAGTACAGAGTGTCATGTGAGGCTTAGGGGTGACAGCGAAAGTGAGGTAGCTACACAGGGTGCCATGGCAGAGATCAGAGAGGTACCTGTGTCCCCAGTATGTGGTTGGAGAGACCACAGCTGCCTCAGCTCCCTGCTCTTTCCTCATTGCCATAGCCAGCCTGGTGGAGGATGTTTTGCCCCACAACCACTCCCCCCAGCACAGCAGGCTGAACCGTCCACCCAAAATCCCTCTAACGGACTCTCCCTTTCCTCCTCCCTCTCCACCCCCAGCAACGAGAAGTGCCACGAGCACTACACTACTGAGTTCCTCTACAACCTGTACTCTTCCGAAGGCAAAGGGATCTTCGACTGCAGGATCAATGTCCTTGGGCACCTGCAGCAGGTACGTGGGGGTGGCAGTGGTGTTGGGAGAGCTCTGTTCATATGGGCACAGGATGGGAGATGAATGAGAGCTTGGGGCGGGGGAGAGGCCAAGGAGCTGCTTCTCTCCTTTCCCAGCCTTCCTGCCCCTGTAGCAGTGCAGAGGCACTGTCTTTCCCTGCACAATCTTGCTGGAGGTTTCTCTCAGGCAGCTCCCACCCTGGGAGCAAGGAGCTCCCTCTGTCCCAGTTGGGTGGAAAGACAACCAGGTCAAGGGCACTGGTCAGCCTGCTGCCTGAGCTCCACAGCCTGGAGTGGATGGGGTACCCCTGCCTCATGAACCCAACACCCACAGTCTCTGAGTTGGGCCTGGCGCTAATTCTGTGTCCCTCAGTTATGGTCTTCGTTTGCAGGGAGGTGCCCCCACCCCTTTTGACCGGAACTACAGCACCAAGCTGGGGGTGAAGGCAGTGCTGTGGATGTCAGAAAAGCTGCAAGAAGCCTATCGCAAGGGTAGGCAAAAGGGTTCCTGGCTTGGACGGCAGCACTGAGCCTCTGGGGAATGGGAGTGGCAGCTGCTATGTGGAATGGGGCAGGCCCCGGTGCTGGGGGTCAGAGAAGACCTCACTGAGCCTGAGCCCTGGCTACGTGGACATGCACTGTAGGCAGATGGTCATCTCCCTTGTGCCAGGGGTTAGCCTTAGGCTGGATGGGAACTGTGTCATGGACAGCAGGGGATGGCCTTGCAGCCTGGATGACTTCAGTTCCTGCCCCTGTCCCAGAGGGTTCACATGATTTCTGTAGACTCCAGCTGGCAGCCTGCTTTTCTCACAGTAGATTGGAGTGGCTCGGCCTGGGGGTGGTGGTGAAACGGGCTTTCTCCTGTGCCCCCAGGGGCAGGAAGCCCCTTGCCAGTGCAGGGTGAGTTGGCCCTCCACACTCGGGTCAGATGCCACCTGACAACTGCAGTCAGTAACATCCAGCCTGTGCCCTCACAGGACGCATATTTGCCAACGCCGGGGACACCGCTTGCGTGATTGGGCTCAGGAAGAAGGCGGTGGCCTTCAGCCCTGTAACGGAGCTCAAGAAGGTCACTGACTTCGAGTGAGTACTAGCCTGGGGTGCAGGGAGTGTCTGTGTGATGCCCATCCCCTTCTGCCCAGCCATTCATGAGGTGTCTTTCAGGCCTGAGTCCCAGGCAGTGCTCTTGGAAGGGGCTGGAGATAAGCTGGCAGCGCTGGTCTCTTGGTGCAGTCATGCATGCGTGAGGGCATGAGCCCACAGGTGGTCATAGACCTAAGCATGCAGTTACTGCCACCCTAGTGTCTAGGCCAGCCTTGCTGCACTACAGAGCTGCCCCCACAGGTGAGAGTAAGGGCATGATCTGCTTCCAATCCCGTTGGAGCTCAGCTCCCCTGGTGGCTTCTGAAAACTTGCCTTTCCCCCACAGTTCTCATGTATTTTAGTTGATCATGTGGGTGTTCTCAGGCCTGGCGGTTTCAATTCACTGTGAAGCCAAGCAGGCACCATGAGTTTGTCTGGGCTCAGTTGATGGCTGCCGTGAGGCAGGCTGGCCAGGCCCAATGCGTGACGCTCTCTCTCGCAGGCACCGGCTGCCACAGGGGCAGTGGTGGGCGGACCCGCGCCCCAGGGTGG